AATCCTGAGTGAAATACAATATTCTTTTTCTTAATTGTAGATCAATCCAGTAGACCAGAATCTTTTGTTCTTAAATCCATTTTATCATCATCATTATCTCTATTTAATTACAGAAGTTCGCCTTTAAATATGCAACTTTAAATTATCTACATATTGCCGCGTTGAAAAAATAAAAGCGAGGAGAGGTAAACACGAATGGACTTATTGTGTAACGGTCTACCCTAAATGCATATCTACGTGTATTTATATAGCTATAACATAAACTTATGTAAATCAATACAATCTAAAAATTATGTAAATAAATTAACCACGTTACAATATATATTGTAAATTAAATTTAATTGCCATCTATCGTTATAATTTTACACAATTTTACAATTTACTGGCAATGCGTTTCTTTTAAATATTATCAAATATTATCTCTACAGACCTTACTGCAATGATATGAGTTATTGAATGAGAGGGCTTGGCTCATCAGTAGTGAACCCTCTCAGCGTTTCGCCAAATTAATCTATATATATATATTGTAACAAAGTATTTATTATTTTATTAATAGAGTATTAATTTTGATATTTATATTTTGTTACTCTGTATAAACTTCCCTCATTGCTTATCTTGTATTTTATTATTTATAGTTGATTCTTGCCTTAAATAAATTGCTGTCTCATCCTGAAGTTTGTCTTCCTTAATTTTCCACGTGGCAATATATACAATAGAGAGAATCTTCCATGAAAGACCATAGCCGTAAAACATGATTAAAACCGGTCCTTATGCTCAAAACTGGGCAACTCTGTGCTTAACTTCCATCAATAATTGACAATATGACCCAGAATAAGTATATTGCTACGGCGTTTTATGGTTTCCACAAGTCTATATCTCAGAAGAAGGCCAAGTGATTGATACTCACTCATCACTTTCTTACTGCTACTCTTTTTGTGTTGATTTCTTGCTTCCCTCTTTCTTCTTCTTATTATTTTTTTCCTTTTCCTGTTTTTTTTTCTCTTTCTCTTTTTACTCTGTATATATCGTTATTTCCTTTGTCTCACTGCTTTGTTCTTATGCATACCTCTGGTGAATCCTGTATAGGGTCAGTGACCCTAAATAAAGGCTTTTTTTGTTGTTGTTGTTGTTGATTAAACTCGGTCTCTCCTGAAGGTAGTCTCTTCTTAGAGATTCTGTTTCAATTGAAAAAAAAAAAAACTCCTCCTGACTTGACCTGACATGACACAGTCTCTAATAACAGACCACTTCCAGGAGATACCGGGTATAGCCATGTTTTTAGGCTATGATTCCTCATGATAATGATCTTCATCAATAGATTGATATATGGGCCCCGAAGAAAATATTTACTTTAATGGAGTCTTTTCAATAAATATATCCATACATTACAGGATCAGCTCCGATATCCCAAACAAGAACCTCATCACAAGCCCAAGTGTCAAGATCCCAGGTTTTTCCCTCCCTCGACGAGAATGGGTGCTTCTAAACCGCTTTAGGACAGGTCAGGGAAGGTGTGCTGAGCTGATGAAGTTATGGGGCTACACCAAAGATCCAAATTGTGCCTGCAACGTCCCACAATCAATGTCCCATATACTAGATGACTGCCCGCTGTACAAATTCAATGGAGGAATCTCCAATCTCCATTCTGTCACCCCGGAAGCCCTG